GATCATAAATTGAGCTGCAAAAATAACAGGGGACTTTACCATGGATCAGCACTCTGCTTTTAAACATCATCACTCAAGACAAGCCATCATCAGTTTAAGACACACCTTCAAGGAGATAGCCCTGTTGTAATGGAAATGCAAATCCCTGCTGTGCTGGGCTGACGGCCCAAACCAAACCAAGCCAAGCCAAGCCAAGCCAGCCCATGACTGTTAAAAAGGGGTACAAGAGTGGGCCCATGCCATAGCTAACACAGTCATCCTCAGCCTCCAGCAGTTAAATGGCAAACTAATCATCAGTTGGATCATAATGAGCAGTTAGATGTCCTGAGAAATAAAGGAATTATTCACATTGTTAGACCTGGCCTTTAGAAATCTAGATCTCGGTCTGGAGGGTAGGAATTAAATTCTCCCTGCAGAGGTTGAAGCTACTGTTTCCTCGGTCAAGAATAAACTTTCACACTTGACCAAGGACAAATCTGTTTGTACAAAGATGTCAAAAACATGGCATTGTATATGATTTATATAACTACTATTGTGTTTTGTATCCAGTAGCTCAATATGAAGAATTAAATGAGGGATAAACAGTCAAATAGTTCAGATTATATACTGTGGCGTTGCCAGTGAAGTTCTGCAGCTAATTGCTTGTTTGATTGCTACTACAAACCAAAAGTGCACAGTCATCTTGCTAAGACATTATTCATGACTTCAGATTGCTGTCAACTAGTTACTTTACAATCACTCAGCCTTACTGTCGTGCAATTAAAACAAATGTTGTTACTGGCAACATTTGTTAAGCATTTGTTGCCATTATTGGCATGTGTACGTGACGGCTCATCCAGCTCTGAGCACCTTTTTGCTGACAAATGGTACAAACCTCGTAAAGATTGATTCATCAGTTTTCATCTAATGGGTAACTGATGCTTTTCCTTACTTTGTATTCCAAAGTAGCAGCCCCCACAAACACACACCACACTACGCTCTGACTAACTCTGAGCTGGCACGCAATCTCGTTTGTTAAAAAAGATGTAAAAAAAGTGGAGAGTTTGCCGATGGCAGAGGGAAGATAACAGCGTCACGGGGTGAGAAATAGTAGTCAGGAAGCTATTTCTGGGCACATTCCCAACTGGGCCAATATCTGACCTCTTTTCCAATCCAAAATCAGCGTTTCACTGCCAGCAGGACAGCAGGCAGTCTGTTGTTATACCCTGCATTAGTTTCATATAGACTCTTATCACTCCTTGTGTTGCAAACCTGTGTTTCAACAACCATGGATGTGTAGTAAACCTTTATGTTTCACCACTTCACTCCTCCAACTGTATTATCCCCTCTCTGAGTGTGCCGCCACCCAGGCAGCAGGACAGCTAATAGGGTTGTAAGCAGTTAACAGGCCTGTGAAGCTCCTGTCGGGAACATTAACATAGCAACACCTCAACAATGAGTGTGTTATCAGGCCTCGCCATGGCAACATACTGACAACTTTTAATGCGTGGGTCTGAGCGGGGACGCTGTTGTTGGGTTAGTGGAATTTTTAGACGGATATTAATTAGCAGAATGAAAGGCAATGTAAAATACATATGACGAGCACATTGCAGATGGTTTCCTCTTTGTCAAAGTCGCTTTACGAAACGCAAAGCTACCAGCCTTAAACGTTAATTAAAAGATAAATGGTTATGGTTGAAATGTCAAAATGGCATCATATTTACTTTCATGTGGAAACATCTTGTTGTTTGTAAACATCTCGCCGGCATATTTTTAGAGAAGCAGCACAAGAAGCGTCTCTGTGTTCTGCCAGCACAGGACTGAAATTGCTTACCCGAATGAGTTGGTATAACAACCGCAGACATGAACAAGCGAGGGACCGCACACATACACACACACTGAGAGTACAAGTGAAGCAGGCGTTGGGGAAAAACTTTTCTTGAGGTGTAAAATCCCAGTGCTGTTCAGTGCTGGTTTGTTTTCCTACAGTTAAACTAAGTGGCAGGGAAGAGGAGGACAGGCTTGTGGCTCAGCCAGCAGCGGCACGCCACTCTGTAATTTACAGGTCTGCCAGCAAGAGCTCAACCAGCAAGAATTGTAAGAGTACTTAAAGCTGTGAAATGAACTCCAGATCGGGAGAATGAGCTGCCGGTGGATGTACGATGTGTTCCTGTTGACTTTACTGCAGGGTCTTTATCTATGGGGATCTGAATGTGTTTGCTTTTCTATGCAAGACTTAGGGCTTGGCAGAGAACCACCAGCCTGAGGTTTTGTGTGGCAGATGATACTGTATGTGCGTTTGTACTGGTAGGTTTGAGAGTTGTCAGTGTTTGTATGCCGCAGAAATAATGTGTGCATTTGCACTTTGCTCTGAGGCGATGTTATATGTATACTGTCTTTGTGTTTTGTGCATCAAGTTGAACTTTGGTCAGGTCTTGTATTTATTACATTTCTAAGATTTGCACTGCTGTGAAGGTTCAACTCAGGAATGGATAATGTTGAGTGTGAGGAATGAAACACATTTATCAATCTGAAGTGAAGTGTCTGACAAGTGAGCAGCATTTTTGTGTTATCAAAGTTGAAGTTGGAGTTTGTCACACCAAAGAAAGATATGTTATTAATAACCTAGCCAAATCTGAATGATTAAAAAATTAAATTGCCAAGAATATAAAATTGTGAGCAGCAGTGTTCTCTGCTCTGAAATGCTGGAAGCCTGTCTGCTGAAGGCCAGACTTTCTTAGTCCATGCTGACATATCGCAGCAACAGGGCAAAGCAGTCGACAGAGCGTCAGTGTGTGACAAAGTAGCGTTTTTGTTTTTTCTTTTTCCTGGTGTCTGGACTTTTATTTAAGCTTGCACTTTTGTAAAATGTTTAAAGATGTAAAATGTTGTTTAAAAACCTCAGCACACTCCAAGAAATTATTCACAGGGTAAGTGGATAACTCTTAAAATAAGTTTTTCAGCATGAAAAATTAAGTTTGTCACATAAACATGTTTTAGTCAGTTGACAATTTATTTTAAGAAGCTGGACAAAATCAAAAATATTTTTGACATTTTTGAGTAGGTTGGAATTCATATAGATAAGTTGGAATATCTTGAATAAAATAATTTAGCCACTAAATGTTAGCACAACTTTTGGATACATATTAGGTTGGTTCAACTTAATCAAACTTTTTGAGCTCAAAGAAAATCATGTTGCTTATACTAAACTAATTGATCAGATTATAAAAGACTCATAGGACTGACTCAATAATGCAAGAATTAGAATTTACTTTAAAAAAAAATGCATTCAAGTAGTACCTTATTTTTTTAAGTTGATTAAGTGGGTTATGTTTTTTTAGAGTGCATTAACCGATTTCATTTTTTCTTTAAACAATATTTATTTAAAAAAAAAAACACTTAGGAAAACATTTGCTGTTTGCCCAAAACGTTCTGTAGCTGTCACATAAAAATAATGGGAAAAAAAACAAGTCTGCATAGCTTCTGCAAACAGTCGATTGTAATCTGGTCAAATGCATGTTGCAAGCTTGTGACGATTGTCAAGTCAAAACTTAATTGCTCAGATGTTTGATGTTTCATCTTGTTGACAAACACAGACGATGGTAAAAGATGGTAGGTGCCAGTGGGTAGGTTGGTACTTACTCAGCTGGGATGTTTTCTCTGCAGATGGGTCATCTCCTGTCTTGGCCTCCTTGGTTTCTTGGCTGGGTTTGCCAAGTCAAGTTATGGCGGTAGCGTCTCAAGTGGGGCTGTTGGTTCTGACCACCTTTGCCGCCCTGAGTATCAAATATTTAATTTTAAATAAGCTGGAAGGTAAAGCTTTCAATTTACTGGTCCATCTACATCCAAAGTCGTAGGGTGGCTGGGCTCAGCCTTAGAGATAGGGTAAGGAGTTCAGACTTCCGGAGGGAGCTCAGAGTAGAGCTGCTGCTCCTTTGTGTGGTTCGGGCAGCTGATCAGGATGCCTCCTGGGTGCCTCCTGTTAGAGGTGTTTCGGGCACGTCCAATTGGTAGGAAGCCTCGGGGTAGACCCAGAACACACCGGAGGGATTACATATCTCGTCTAGCCTGGAAATGCCTTGGGGTCCCCCAGGAGGAGCTGGAACTAGTGCCACCTTTATTCATAATATTGGCACCCCTGGTAAATGCAAAAAAGAAGAGGAAAAAGTGGTGTGACATCCAATCAAATGTTCAAATTGAATGCAAATACTCAAAACTACCCTGTTTGGAGTTATACATATTGTATCAGCTAACGTGTTTATTCACCACGGGCAAGTATATTTTAACTCCAAGACATGTCACATCAGACAATATTTAGGATCTACTCTTAACCAGCTCAAATTTAACAGTGTTTCTAAGTTACAGGTTGTATTCTTAAGTATATGAGTAGGAGTGAAAGTTAAGAGTTTTTACTTTAACTTTAATTTAGTCCAACATTTCACTTTTAGGTAATTACTTGCTCTGTTTTTCAGTTGCAGTAGCTGGATGCTGTTCTGAACACTTCATAAACTGAATATAGAACAGCACAGGGTGTCTGTGTGCTCGTCTTTGTGTCTGTACATGTGTGCAAAAGCATTTTCATTCAGCTGGAACATTTTGAACAGAGGTCATAGGTCGCTGAAACAGGAAGCGCCAAGAGGCCAGGCTGTTGAACCTCTGTGCGGTAGTTTCAAACAACTTCATGAAGAGGAATATATTGTACATGACAGTGTTGTAAAAGTCAATATAGAGTCAGACTGAAAGCTGGGTCACTGTGGCCTCTCGTCTCCTCTCTCCTGTGACAGAATTGAAATAAGGGGGTAGATCACAAAGCACTCATGTCAATAAGGTATAAGATTTTGTCATAAAAGAAAGCCAAAGATCTGACACCTTAAATGTAATCCCCGTTTTGACCCTGGACTTTCCCTCAACCCGTCTAAATCAGTGCACATCTTTCTTCTTCTTTTCTTTTTTTTTGAATCATTTGAAAAGGGAATTTTAAATCTCACTCTCTCATTCCTCTTGTGTGTGTTTCTCTCCAGATGCAAACCATAACCTCACCATGGCTTCTAACTCCATGACGATGCCCATGTCAGACCCCAGCGCCTGGGCAACAGCCATGAGCAACCTGGGGATGCCTCCGATAAGCATGACTGGACAACAGCTCTTGCCAGGTACCACAGAAACAGGTCACAGTGAATATATTGATGGGGGAATTTCTGTCCCACAGCTCATAAAAAATGAATTTGTTAGATTTGTGTTGACACTTTTTGTGGTTAGGAGATAAACTGTAAGTAAGGTATAGCTGCATACAGAGGTGGGAGAAACAGCCGCCTAAAAGTTACCTTTTTTGGTTGCTGCCTTGAATCACAGACAGGCTGGGAAGAATGTGTGTAGGAGGACATATGAGTAACAATGTTTCCTCCCCCTCCGCTGCCCTCAAAGTGCCCTTGAGCAAGTCAGTGAGCATTAGCACCGGAGCAGTTGTACTCATCGCACTGGGCAGCTCCCCATGCGTCAGTGTTTGAATGTCTGGAGCTTCCCCTCCTCTGCATCTACTCCCCCAGGCAGTAATAATTAAGGATGTGCTGTTAGCTCATTTTCCTGCTTAAGTAAAGGTTTTAAAATGCCAAATGTGTCTGGAGGATGACGACGTGTGTGTTTTTATACCTGTGTGGGGCCCGTGGGGGCGGTAAGTCATCCTTGTCTGACTGTACAAAGTCCAGCTGGAGCTCAGGATGTTTACAGTACTTGTGGTAACACCTTTAAGGAGTTCCCTTGCTGATCAAGCTCTCGGAGGAGTTAGTAATCCTTACCCAGCCCCCATGGGGTTGACTCGGTTCATCCTGTTTGGCTGAGCAAGGAAGTTTTAGTGTAGGTGAAGGATTGTTTTGCATTTTTATGCCTCCGCTCTGGCAACAGCCATGACCGGAGGTATTGTGTTTTTGGGTTCTCCATCCATCTGTCTGTAAAAACTTCCGTCCATCTCATTCTTGTGAATACAGTATCAGGAGCGCCTTGGATTTGGCACAATGTCCGCTGGGACACAAGGATGGATTGATTCGTAATTGTTGGTCAAAGGTCACTGTGACGTCACAAAACATGGTTTGACATAACTGAAGAATTCATACACTTATTACGAGAAAAAAAAAAACATACCAACCAGCCTCAATCGTGTGAAAATTGGAAGACATTGTTCTGAAGCTCAAAGAGGTCGGGAGTTGGAGTAGGGGCACATATGTTCAGCAATGTACTGGGGTTGATGAAATTTTATATCTTAACACTTTCACCGCCAGAGTATTATTTTTAAGTTGCCAGCCACTGCCAGCATTTGTGAACACATTCACTCATCTGTCAGGACCTACAGATTAATTTGTTCAATGAATATGTGAACAGTATATACATGAAACTAAAGAGGAGGCCCTCTATTTTTAAACACAAAGAAACATTTTATTCATTCTTATTCCAACCCTTTTATTGTCAACACTTGAATTTGTGCATTTTCATAAAAATCAAAGAAAAAAAAAACATTTCAGACAAAAAAAATATATTTTTGTCAAAGAATGCCATTTTCAAAAACAAAATGCATTTCACATTTACATTTTTTTTTCTCATTTCCTTTTGTCAATTTGAATTGTATAAATGAAAATAATAATAATAGTAATTATGAAAATAATATTCTCTTTGATAGCGTAACAGGTTGCCACGTTCAGTGTCAGTACTGTTGTCTCCCACTCCTCTGTCATCGTCTTGTCCATGTGTTGCTGTCACCGTCATGGAGATCCTGTTTCGTCCCACCAAACTCGTTTGCTTCTTCGTCCAAATCAGATTCAGAATGTTGATCAAAACAGGAATTATCGGAGTCTGAGTCCATCAACACGCTTGCGCAACCGTAAACTTTTCAGTCAGTGCCAGCATTTTCATGCGGTTTACAAGCTGCAACATCTTCTTCCGGATTCCAGCAGATCTTCTTCTTCTTTTGTTTTTGGACACGGCAGTGCTGTTTTATTTCACAAGATGTGTAACAGCGCCCCCTATCTTATAACAGTGAGAACATGGATTGCCGGAATATCTTGTCAACGGTAGGGAAGCGTTTTGTCATAAATGACGGGAAATCTTGTCAAAGGCGGGGATAGTATATAAGGTCAAAGGTCAACTTCACTGTGACATCATATATGTTCTGCAAGAATTTTTTTTTTTTTTGCCGTTATTCAACGCTATAACTCTGGAACAGATTGGAAGACATTTGGTCGGATACTGAATTGGTGACACTAATCTTGGTTGACACTGTGATGATTGTATAGATCTTCATGCTGCTGGGTTGAAGATGTGTGTCAAGCATTAGAGTTTTAGAATTTAGAGGCATTATCTACTGTCATGGCAGCAAATGTCTCCGGACAGACATGGATGTTAATTGCAACTTAACTGGTTGGCAGAGGGAAACAGCTGCAAGGAGGTAATTCTAGTTGGAAATTATTTGATTTCTTGCCCAGCATGTGACGAGAAGGTCGACACTACTCCCATGTCTGTACAAATGAAGCTCCTGCTTCAGTGGCTGGTTAGACACTGACAAGACTTATTCATCTAACCAAAGAAATAATCTTGGGCATAAAACCACAAATTGTCTTTTTACTCTTTGGTTTTTCATTAGATTAAACAAAGGAATAAAAACATGTTGCGTGGCTAGCATTGGAGGCACTTGTAGGCAGATTTTGTTACCTTGGTCAGAGCCAGGCTAGCTGTTTCCTTCTGTTTCCAGTCTTAATGTTAAGCTAAGCTAACCAGCTGCTGGCTGGAGCTTCATATTTTTCAGAAAGATAGGAGAGTGGTATCAATCTTCCAATCTAACCTAATGCAAGAAAGAAAATATTGATACTTCCCAACATGTCAGACCGCTCCAATAAAAGAGACGTCAGCCTGTGTGCATAGAAATGAGAGTTAAGATGTCCAACTACTGCCGGCTTTGGTCAGACCACACGGGGTCAGCCGCTAAAAAGGTGCCAGCGTGTGTGTGTGTGTGTGTGTGTGCCGGGATATCAAACGCGCCAAGTTTACAACAGAGGGGTTTAGGAGAAGATAATGTTTCTGCATGCTGATCCCTTCTTTATAACCTAGCTCACTTTAAGTCAAGATATATAAACACGTCAACATCCCTATAATCCCTCTAAGGCCTGGTTTCCTTAAACTACAGTTCACGCCCCCATCTGAGGCATGAGCACACTCCTTTTCTTGTAAAGTGTGACTCAGTGGATACAGCTGTGCCCTGAAAACACAAATACACAGTTAAAGTGTAATAATAAAAACTCAATCAACAATAAAGAAGTTATTTGTACAAATACCATAAAGTTCAGTACACAAGATGGTGGTTTATGTTCTTCTCTATAGACTGTATCTCTAGGAAGAGGCGAGCATAAACAGCTCACTTTATTGAAATAAGAATACAGTTCCCCAGTTTAATAACATGCTGCAGTGTTGTGCCTGCTATTAAAAAATTATCAGCCTCATCTCCAAAGTGATCTGTGTTTTAAAGGCAGTTTCAGACTAACAGCAGGCAATACATACAAGTGAAGCGGGTGTTGATTGGTACACCACATTAAAAAAGCGCTGAATTCCCTCTAATGAGGCGTTTGCACAGTATTTAATTTAGTGGAGCTGGTATTTTCTGTCAGTCAGGAATAGTATTTCATGAGAAAAATACTTGTGTGAGCAGTTTCTCTCTCAAATGGCTTTCATAAATACACTTTTAACTCATCTACATTGATTTGCAAAGTGTCACAAGGAGGGTTGCATTTATTCTGAACTATATTTAAAAGTAATAATTTAAAAGGAAAATCATTAAATCGGAATAATAAGAGACTCTGAATTCACTAAAAGATCAACACTCCTCATTACAAGGTCTCATTACTATACTGTAATAACTTTACACAGTACGTCATGTACCAGGAGTCAATAGTTGCCACAGGACAAGAGCAGCAGCCCTCAGAGCTCACCCTGGAGGAAAGAGCTTTGAACCCCAGACTAAAGTGCTAATTATTCATTTCACGTAGCTGTGAGGATCTGTGAGAGTTCGCAAGATGTAAATTGAGTCATCCGTTCAGATAATGCAGACATTTGTGCATCAGGGCTGACCTGGGCGCTGCATACCAACTCAGTGGTGAGAAAAGCAAGGCAGAGACGAAAACCCTGGCTGTTTAAGGCCGAAATTTCGCGTCATGATTCTACCTTGCCGTCTTTATAAGGAGGTACAAACAGCACCAAATCTCATCTGTGTGAAAGACAGCCAGCAGGGCAGGACCATGGACGGGACAGGCATGACGTTTTGACGACAAGTTATGTGTGTGACCCACAGCCGGGAGATTTAAAAAGCAGTTAGCAGCCTTAGCAGCTGACTTAAAGAAGAGGCACAGCAGCCAAAAATGTCTTCAAACTGGGGACACAATGAGGTATGGGAACTCCTTACCCTCCAAGCAGTGGACGAAATCAACCATTAAACAGCTGAACACTGAGTTATTGTTATTTCCATGTAATGCCATTGTTATTGTTTATATAGCGCTGGTGCTTTGTATGTAGACCTATTGTGCGTGGGACAGATGTGAAGCTCTGGCATCCCTGCACTAAAATGATCAACTTCTCCTCCATATTTCTCACAGACTGATACTTACAGAAGAAGGGAAAGATATCGGTCGGCTGTGATTGATTGATTGTAATGCACCTGCTGCGTTCCAAAGATGAACTCAGTTTATCTCAGGGCACAGCTGTAGCACCCTGGAAAATGAGCACTTGTGAATGTGTGCGTGAATTTGAGGGTTCAAAAAACGGGCGTGTGCACAGCCACTGATTCTGCCATTGTTTGGCCTTGTATAAAACTAGCAAAGGTGGTGTAATAAAGGGACTTTGTAGTGGCCCTTTCACGTAACCTCTGCGTAAAAAGGGCTTTAGACGCCTGAGGAAATTCCAGGTATCCCCTCAAATACGGAGGAATTTCTACTCCTGCACCATAGAGAGCTTCCTGACAGGGAACCTTATGGCCTGGTGCAAAAACACCACTAACGACAGGACCACAAGGCCCTGCAAAGAGTGGTTCATTCAGCTGAACATACTCTATCCTGCCTGATGGATGTTTACACCAAGTGCTGCACGAATAAGGCCAAGGGAATTATTAAAGATCCCAACC